GTCAATTGAACTCACTTGTAGAGGTTGATGTTATTTGAGATACCGTTGGCAATCAACACTGCTACTACCAGGCCGTAGATGGCTATGATACCCGCCATGACCACGGGGATGATTGACTTCATGATGAGCTCTGGCCTCATCACGGACATGGCTGCAATCCCTGTGCCGCTTTTAGCTGTGCCATAAGCTGCTCCTAGGGCTGATAGGGAAGACAGAAGAGAACTTCAGCTATATAAACAAAAATGATAGGAAGTTAGAATATACACATTACAACAGATTAACGGACTGAGAAGAAACCAGAGGTGAAGCTGAATAATGAAGCAGAAGTGAAATCGGAGATGGAGAAACAATAGAGCAAGAGTTACAATTTCTGTTCCCCTTAAAATGTCAACATGGCGCCACTTAGGAAATTTTGTTTGCGTTTAAAGGGAAATAATGCATCATTCTTTTCTACAAATGCATATACTTTTCCACAGGTTGTGTCTCATCTCATCAAAGTGCTTCAGCCCTTTTAATTACAGAACAGACAGTGCAAGACAGCCACACAGATGTAAATCTCTCAATCAAAATATCTCATTAGGCTTTCGCATACAGGGAACTGCTGATGCCATAAGAGAGGTGGGATATCTCCAGAAACAGCACCAGTACAGGATGGGTATCATGGGGGTGGGTGGCTAGTACACACATCTACTGTTTGCCATCTCCTGTGCACACAAGTCTCTGGCCAGTAGCAATGTCATGTGACAGCTGTGAGGCTGAGGAGAAAAGCACATTGAAACCCATTTCACACATCTGTGTCTGACAGGTATAGAATGAAAATCAATAATCACCTCACCATATACAGAAGCAGCCATTCATGAATAACTGGTTATAATTCTGCACGAGGAACTGACCAGCTTCCATGTAAGATGATTGAAAGCCTTTATCAATATCCAACAAAGCTCGTCAGAGCGGGATAGTGTCACAAATCCAAGACAGGCTGGTTCGACAAGATTTTGCCACGTCAGCCAGTCTGTGTGATTACATCTAAGAATATACAGGTCATTCATGCTGACTACATAGGCTGTTATACTAGCAGCACAGTGGTATTAAACACATACAGTATGTACATGTAATCTATTCTAGAACAGCTGGAAGTAGTTCCGATTAATTCAAAGACTAGCTGAGAAGCTTTCTGGCACATGGATCTACAGGCAAACTGTGGGAAGATGTGGGCCAATCTTTAAGTGGATACCAGCCATGTGTCCAGCTATTTCTATTGATTTATGGCCAGACTGATGCCATCGATACAATGCTAAATCACTTCTGCCTATCTCAAGAGATGGGTCTGAGTATTACTGGGCACTGTTTTCACAAACCATGACAAACGCACAAGAAAGACTGTCTTTTTGCTTTGACTTTGTGGAAGAGTTGTACATTTTCTGGAGGACTAAATTCTTTAAATCCAGCGGAGAGTAGGCTATATGACTTATAACTGCAATGGACAAACAACTTACTTCAGCAGATCAATATTAAAACTGACCAAAAGGGTCCAAGATGCTTTTTCCAAACACTGTAATTTAACTATTCAAAAAAGCCTTTAGGACAACATTCTGGAAACATCTAAGCCATCCTCTGAACAGCTGCTTATCTTAGCCATTCACCCATCCTTTGACAAACCAGTGAAATAAGTAATATTATCCTCCAGCTCCATTCTTTTTTGGTGAGCTTGGCCTCACTGTGTGAGAGGTGAGGGTTGACAGCCAAACTGGAAACCTCAAACACTACCATTCTGTCCTGATAATTAAAGACTTGACTTGTGACTTGTACAGTGGTGTCGACATTTCCAGTAGTGGAAATGTCCACTCATTTTAGGTACAGAGCCTTTACCCCGTTTCTCTTTTCCTCCCTGCAGAATATCTTACATGATAGTCTTTATTGTCATTGTACAGTCACTTAAGCAATGAAACTGAAACCGCAACTGTCTCATCTAAAGTGCATTGAATAACATCAAAATAAACAAGTAAAAACAGGAGCAAGTAAACACCACTCAAACAAGTATGTATGGGACCTCTTGTGGTGTCAGAGCAGGAGGTGCCTCCAGCTAGGGATGAGCCTGCATGCAAACCGCCCACAGTCTGCTCTGAACAGCAGGTGAAGGTAAAGCAGGGGTTTTTAGGAAACCAATGGCCTAAAACAGGAAAGTCATAGTGGTTAAACTGCTTACCAGTCTTACAAAACTGCATGTGCTGGCTGTACAATGTAATCTGTGTAAAGATATGAGGCTAGATGAAGAAATTATGACACAACCACCAATCTACTGCATCATGAGATGAGAGATGTGTAGAGCATATATAGGCTACTACCACCAATTATACCTCTTCACTGAAGAGTAAAAGAAACACTGAACCCGAATAAAAGTTCAAGCATCTGAAAGCACTACTGAATAACAGCTAATCAGAAAAAAAACTTACTCTGTGACAAACTCTCTGTAGGATATCCTATAATGAACATGTCGTCCTACAGTTGCACAGGAAATGAGAAAATATCCATTCTGCCGTGAACACACATTTATCTTAAATTATAGTCAACACCAGTACAAGCAAATTCAATCATTTCACTTATCTAGGACATAAATCAAGTTTATATTTTAAGTGTTCTAGCAATGGGAAGATGTGACGTTAGGCTAACTTAGTACAGTACTTAAAGGAGTGGGGGATCAGAGCTGCAGTAGCACTGCTAGCATAGGAGTGGTGGTACTAGTCCCATGGATAATATGCGAGCATCACCCATTCTGAGCAACACATCACTAAAGGCACAATCATCACATGACTATTAATACTACAATACACTACACAGCAGCACCTCACAATAGAAGAACTTATAGCTTCTTACAGAAAACAGCAAATTATGACACTGTAAATTAAACATAAGTGAGAAATTTTAAGCCAACCATTTTGAGTCAGATCTCACCATGTAAATTTGTCATTTTCTATATTCTACAGACTGGATGTTGAATCAACATACCCAAAATATGACAGATTTACTGACAGACAGTTGGCTTTAACTGCAGCCACAGTGTATCAGCTTGTACAGAATACAGTGACTGACATCACAGGATCTTGTCAGTCACTCCAGAACACACTGCAAGATCCTTCAAGATGAAGCCTGGATCAAGTATCCCTGTCCATCCCTACTATATCCTTTCTTTGTGCCAGCATGATGCCCCAGCCAGTTCCCCAGCTGTTACTCCTTTATCACAAGAGACAAGTACTGCTGCCTTGGTAGAGGCCACTGCCACCACCATAATGCCACCCTTGCCTATGCTCTTACCTAAGCCATGGCAAGACAGAGGGTTCACTAGGACAAGTAGCCAAGGCATTTCCATTTAGGACTCTCCAATATAAAGTTATCTGTAAGTACAAGTGTATCATTGGATGTTTTATTATATATTGTAATATCTTACTGTGTTTAGTTAATAACTTAAAGCATTACTAGGTTAGATTTACATCAGACATTTACTTAAAGACAGAAATAACTTCTGATATTTCCCTTCGCCAAAGTAGCCCACACTGATTAAAAAGTATATTAAGACATTGCTCTCACTCACATTAGGTAGCCACAGAAATGTATGCATATGTGGCAAGACAACAAAATTTGGAGGACAGATCCACAACCACATTCCGTCTTAAAGGGAAAAGGGTTCTTCGAAATAGATCTTACAATAAAGGCATTCACTGGCAAGGTCCCTCCATGAAAACCTATTTACACAATACAGTCACATGGGGGGCCTTTGCTGCAATACAGCAAGCCATTGGCATATAATGTTAATTCTTGCCCTGGGTGAAGGGAAGACAAATAATAAACTAGGAAAAGGTCCATAAAGCAAGTACAAAACAAGTCCGTTTCAAAGTTCACTTTCTGTGCCACTTCCTATTTACTATGCAAGAACAATGATCAACAGTGGTGTTAAACCCTTTTTTGTGTATTAAAAAAGCAGCATTTTCTTTGAACAGATTTACTACTAGTTACAATTTGCGTTTATATCATTTTTCAAGATGAGTAGCTAGATGCCAATTTCAAGAAAGAAGTCATGTGATAGTCACGTGACCTCATGTCATTCCTTTTACCAATAAGGAAGTTAAACAGCTGATCATGATTTCCATTGGTCATGTAAAAGCTTTAAGCTAAAAGACAACCTGAATTAAATTAAATATTGCGTCATTTGACTGTGTTAAATTGCTGCAAAATGGCAACAGGTCACGCAACGTCAATTCAGTGACTTAAAGACTTAATGGTCTCTACTTTCAAGCTACATTAAATAACTTGATATGAAGCGTATCGTATACTGCTTAAATACCCATGGACACCAATACAGTGTGCAGTAGTGTGGCATCTTTGAGAAAAAAGGTGGGAATCACCCACCCCAACCTTTATACCTCCTAAGCGCAGCAAACAGCCGGTGTGGGATAATTTAACATTAAAAACTACTTTTAACCAATTAACACTACTTTCATAAGATAGTCGAAGCTTCTTATCAGTTCGCAGCAGTTGCTGCTTTGTCCTTTCTATTAAGATAAAGCACATAACGAAACTAACGAATCAAGCTCATATCAGGACTAATTAGTCCACGTCGCTTGGTTAGCTAACCTAACGCTACTTAAGTTAGCTAGCCAGTCTTGACATGTTTTGCCGTCTGTCGTTGAAACAGGGAGGCTAGTGGCGATCATTCTATTAACTACGTCATTATTACATTAAAACAATAACACGACAAAAGTAAACACGAGTCTAGGTCAAAATAAACGATAGCTTCAGGTTAGCATTGCAACGTTAACATTAGCATGGCTAGCGAATTGCTCATATAAGTGAGCTTGAAGAGAAGTACGATGGTTGACAATTCAAAACGCTTAAGGTTGGGAATGACATTAAGTCCAAAAGGAGATGCAGCAAATGCACACCGAGACATTTTCTAAGTAGTCAGCTAGTTAAAATTTAACGATGATCGTGTGATATTTACCGCTGAACACCATAGCCGAAGAGGCACCCATCACTGCGAAGAACGAGGAGTATTCGGGGCTTTGGGCCGACATTCTTTCTGGCACGGTATAAAAATAAAATAAACTAACTTAAATATGCAAAACTGATTATTGATGACGATTCAAAAATAGCCCTTCGCGAAGCTTACTGAAACCCACAATCTTAAAATGCAAAACTAAGAATTCCAGGAACCATGTAGTGTTAACATCAGATACGAGCGTAAACTGAGTAGTCACGACTCTTGTAATAAATACCCGGCGCAGAAACACAAAATGGCGAAGCGGAGAGTGTCACCTGACCGGCCGTACGGAAACAACCTATTACGGACTGGACCGGGTAGGGGGTGGGTGAACTAAAACAAAGTTTGTTATTGAGATAGTTTGCCACACAACGCGTTTATGAAAAAATATTGTTGATTTAAATTCATAAACAACTTATTTGTAGAAATAGTTGTTTCATCATTTTTTATTTTCTTATCCAGTTGTATGAATGTCACCCCTATCAAGCATCAATTTGGTGTGCTCCGCCGCAGGGTTTCCCTTTAATATCTACGCATTCACCTTTCAGAAGCATGAGGTTGAAATGATGGAGATAAGCGGGAGTGCGAGGAGACAATTCTGCCCTAAAGAAAAAATGTAGCTATCAAGCAATGAAAACCAATACATTATATTGTTATAACTCATACGAATGTCATGCTTTTACAGAGCCACACAGCTGATTTAAGTGACTTCCCATAATAAGCTACTAAAATTCCTAATGTTGCGTAGGGCTACACATTTGTGAACTTTCCATTAGGACTCCATGGTTGTTTACAATCAGTTGTGATATCAGAATCAAAATTAGAATACGCTTTAATCATCAAGTATGTTGAACTTATAAGGAATTTGTCTCCAGCACAGAGGATCGGTGTGTTTTTATACAATAGACAATAGAATAGGACAATCAAAGGTAGGGGAAGTGTGGGAGAAAGAGGAGAGGCAGTATTAATAAAAGTTATAGACATATATACACATTTCAAGCTATCAGACTGGTTTATTGGAGCTATGATACTGACTGCTATCAGACATACAGTATATAGCAATCTGGGGCATCAGAGTCAGAGAATTTCAGGGTGAGTGTATATGGTGGGGGAAAGGAGAATCCCCCACTTCACTGTAGCTCACAGCAAGTGTAGGCTCAGAAATACAGACAGAGGAGGGGTCGAGAGAACTAGGATACCACGGGAAAGACAAGGGGTGTGGGTGAGTCAGAGAGAGCCTTGCAGTCTCTATACCTCCTCTTCTGTCTCCTCCTCCTGTTTCCTACTCCATCCATCCCTCCATTCTGGACTCTGCACTGCCTGGCCTAATCAGCAACATGAAAAGGCCCCTTTGCCATATCACTGTAAATCCCCTCAACTCATGATGCCATTTCTACACCAGGTCTCTTTCCTTTACTGGTTTACAGTTAGCTGTAAAACAACTTGGCCAACATCTTAATCCACCTGCCAAATGCAAGATTAGGCTACATTATGCAGCAAAAGTAGATCATTTTGAGGCAGGGATGAGGTAGGCTATATGTGTGCCAATAACAAAAAGGTCATAATTACCTGAGATTAGATAGTTTTGACTTTGTTTCCTCCAGGATTCTTTTAGGTGGATGGGTATAGCCTTCATGTTTATGTTGGATCATGGTGTTCCTGTTTGGGACATCGTGAAGCATGAAGTGTCATGACATTTGCAACAAGCTCATTTTTGAACTTGCAGTAATATGATAGCCTACATACTAACACACTGTATCCATCTGCAGTACCCTAAACAAACAGAAAACAAAGATTACGTGAATGCCTTTGTCCTTGAACAATGTTCAATGAGTTGTATAAGGAGCTGGTCTTGGAAATGCTGTTTAAAGAAAGGAAACACAGTGTGAAAAATTCTCATGAGAACGCATTTCCATTAATTTACCATTCAAGATGCACTATAAAGCAATTGCCATCAGTTACTTATTTACAGTATAATGTAAGTATAGTCCTACAGTTTATTATAGTGACCAGCATCAGTAATTAGATCCTTCATCTTTAAGTGGTTCTGGGACAGTGAGATTTCTTTTAGACCAGGACACAGTTCTACAGAGATACATGCAGCTTTTATTCTTATTGGAGTGATGAGTAATTTTACCTTCATTTAGAAAATGCTAATGTTGTGGAAATAGAGAAACCTTAATCCTGAATTAATAATAAATCTTTCCTTTTCTGTATATTAGTCTGGGAAAAACATTCATTTTGTAGAACAGTTAGCCAGTCCATAAGGCAGATTTGTGCGATATATTCAGCAGCACTGGAGTTAACCCCAATATTCAGTCAATGATCTAAATATTTGTTGGAAACTCTTTAGTCTGACTTAATCCCCTGTTCACTGCCTCTGTCCATAATCTGAGGGGCAGGAATTGGTCAAGGAGAGGTCCATCTCAGTGTGGGGTTAAACACTGTTTATGGTGCTTATTATATGTGTAAACATGGTGCGTTTACACAGTAAGCATCTTGCTCCTTGAGGCTAGAAAGCATGGTTTTCAGGAGATGTGCCAGACCAACACCCAAAGGAGGAGCTAAATATAGAAGTGCATGCGCGATTAGCCGAGTGTGAATCCTGAATGAAGAGTGCAGCCTTGGCAAGACAGAGTCAGTACTACTTATTATAAAAAGGAATTACTCCACCACTTTACTGTATTATGCTGAGCCATACACACCGGAAAAGGAATGCCTACACATTTTATAGAGCCTTAATGGATTGACATCGATTGACATGAAATGCTTTTAAACCAACATGTTTAATAAAATGTCTGACAAAATAGAAGATAGCTGTCAGTTACACATTTGTAGTTATAGACAATACAGTCTGAGGTCCAATAATCATTCTAATTGCAGAACGCAATACATCTAGTTATTAAAAGTTGAAGGCTTTTTACAGACAAATTTTTTAAGTATATCTGACTCATTTCTGCTAAATATTTTCCAGTCATGCAGCTCACTGTCAGCTTCCACAAAGCAGACGTCCAAGCAAAAATAGACAGTGTGCATCAAGAAAGAAATGAGTAATTCAAGTCAGTTTTTAGTTTTAGTAGAATTTTAGATCCAACCTTACACTGTAAATACGTAATTTGCAATACTGTCATTTCACGTATCGCCTCAAATCAGTAGTAATTTTAAACTAAATGTTTTTATGTTACAACAATGAACAGACCTTTTAAGATGTAATTTTAAAATTCTAAGTAAACAATTTCAAATCATTTTTGGTGCTAAAAACATGCACAAAATGCAATCACAGTATGACAGTATTGTAGTTTTTGCATAATTGCCATTTTGGGACAAGCTAATTAGTCAACTAGAGCCAAACACTAGAAGATAAGGATTAGATTAATGGTTAGATGACTTTCAAAGGCATCTGGCACCCCTCTGGAGCAGTCTGAAGAAATGTAACCCTCTTTGCAGGGTCTGCAGTTCAGTCACGTCTCTAACCTCTCACACCTTTACAAAGTTAGTAGTGATTAACTATGGTGAACAAATCAACTGTATAAAATCATGTTTTCACATGTAGAATATGTTTCTAGTTATTCAGGTGATGTTTCACTGGAGCACATATTTGAACATACAGAGAGACACACAAATACATAGTATAACCCTAACAGCAATTTGCCAACATGGCACAATTTTGATCTTTTGTCACTATGTTAACACTGGAAAATAACCAACAGGAAAATGGTGAGGAGGATGAAGAAAAAAAAAAAAGAACTTAATTTAACCCAATTATTTTTAAACCAAAAACATTTTTCTTTTGAAATGTTTGTAGTTATTCATGTGACTATTCATACACTATACAAAGATGAAATTACTATTCTTTCAAAAAAAAAACAAAAAACTTTGACATATGGTTCAAACTGGCAACAAAGTCATCACTGATATTCCCAAACATTTACATCATTGAGTCATTTAGAAGATCATCCACACATATACAATAAATCAAAAAATGTGGGGCAATGCAACAGTTACTAGATAACCTGGTACAATTTTACCAAGTCTTCACAAGGATGCTTCAGGATTTAAAAACACCTGTCATGTCATCAAATGAACACTTCATGCATTTTACTGTAAACTCCATTTATCAACATGGCCCAGGAATTTTCTTAAGGACTTCAGAGCTAGCTACACAGTACTTTTGGCAGACTGAGCTAAATCACAGAACCCAACATGCTGAATTTACCTTTACAAATTTAAATGTATTAGCATGGCATGTGCATGAAAAACCTCTAGATGAACCTTACATCAAACACTTCACATTGTGACAGGATTACTACACCATAATACAATTGTGTAAACAGAAAAACCAAGAAATTTTTTTCCCCATGTTGTAATTTGGATTAAATGTAATAATTTTTTAAAGAGTAAAACATAAATGTGTAGGACAGATGTAGTGTTTGCCTATCTCTGATTTCACTTCTATCCCTTTGCTAGACTTTGTGACCACATTTTCTAATTTAATATGTTGAACTGATAAAATCTTTATTCATGGAAATGCACATACATGTCCATGGCTGTAGGGATCTACTTGTATGTATATGTAGTGTGTGTTTATGTATTCAATATTATGAGGCCATGGCATCTTGGAAGCCCCACACTTCCAGCAGTGCAACCTGGAAACTCTCTGCACACAAGGGTGGATTGTCAAAGGTGGTGCAGCTGCTGGTGTGGCCATGGTTCAGGTCTGAGTCGATGTAGAGAGCGTTACCATCACCTCCCCCTGACGAGACACAAAGCATTTGGATGAGTTAAAAGTCAGAAAGCACAAAAGTACATTTCTGCTAATGATTTTCATGTAAAACAATTATAGTCATGGCCAAAAATATTGGCACCCCTGCATTTCTGTCAGATAATGTACCACTTCTGGAAAATCCTTTGGTATTCTTATGTTTATCTCTTTGTTTGGACTTGAACATAAAAAAAGCAGAGGAAAAAAAAAAAAGCCAAATCTGATACATTCCACATACAACTCCCAAAATGGACTGGACAAAATTACTGACACCCTCAACTTAATATTTGGCAGCGCACCCTTTGGACAAAATAACTGGAATCAGTCGTTTCCTGTAACCAACAGTGAGCGTCTTACACCTCTCCTTTGGAATTTTGGACCACTCTTCTTTTGTCAACTGCTCCAGGTTTCTCAGATTTTGAGGGTCTCTCCAAACAGGGACCAAGTACACAACAATAGCATGCAGAAGTTACCCACTCACCCACTATAATGGAGTCAAAGTTTCCAGCCATGAACATTGAAGTATTCTTGGAGTTAAGATTGAAGTGGCGGGCAGAGAGGAAGGGTGACAGGTCTCCAGCAGGTTTCCCTGACAGCTGTAGGCTGTTCTCTGACTTTTGATCCTCAGAAGAGGCTGGGTCCTCCTGACTCTGGGTCTTGATGGAAGATGCTAGCTCAGGGTGGCGGATTACCACCCACTCATAGCGCTCCATCTCTGGTTTCATCTAACAAAGAAAACAAAAAGGAGTAACTGCTACTATACGGCAGTCATCAATTACACACCTGGACAGCACATGTTAAATACAGATAGTATTACAAATGTATTCAAGTAAAACATACAGGTGACAATAAAATGGTCTTATGAATCAGGGCACCAATTTGAATTTAGCATTTAACTGAGAAAATCAATGTGAAAAACTGATTGCCATTTTGTTAATGCAAAGAATATATTGATTGCCTTTGATTCCCTCCTCTCCAATGCTCAACTATACATCTGATAAGACACCTGTCCCTGCTGACTGTTTTACGTGTGTCAGGTATGGTGTCAGGTGAAGGCCTGCTCACATACTACTGGATCAGGTTACAGGAGTTTCCGATCCGTGTGTGCTGAAGCATCAGTGTGGTGAGATGACAGTGTTTTCTGGTGTGCAGGCTCAGACAGCCCTCACCTGTTTATCAACGCACATAAAGTCAATTCATAAAGGCCATTAGAGACCCAGATTTTTTTGTAGCCATTTCTAGCCTAGGTGCTATTAAAACTAAAGCTAAATGCTGCAGCATCACAAGCAAAGAAAACATGATGTGTGGATGTTTTTGCACTGAGCAGAGGGCAATGTCCACATGGCGATTTCTGACCTGCAAGGCAGACTTTTCAACTGTGAGCCTGAATAGCCAACTGAGGCCAGCAACACCAGCATCGTACGAGTAGATAGGACCCTCTAGTGGCAACAGTCTGTTACTACTCATTATGAAAACATTTCCTTTCATTTGTCCCTAAAATTCACCTAAGGAAAGATGAGTGATTCCTTGCTGACAGAAAACTATTAAGACATTATACTAAAAATAAACTTACCCTGAAGACAAAGCACTCCCCTGTACCAAAGAAACTCAATGTATTGCCTCCCCTCTTCCGTTCCTCCCAGTCTGTGGACAGGAAAGCTCCACATACCTGAGGAGAGAAAAAAAAATATAAATAAAATTGTGTGTGTGTGTGTGTGTAAAATCAATTGGCACATATGTTCATATGCTTTGGCTTTATTCTGCAGAATCCACCAAAGCTCATACTAGGGGAAGATTTCTATCTGTAAGCCATCAATGTTTGTGCTGTGCCTTAATCCAATCTTTCGAGACCTGGGTAATCATGACCATTAGAATTAGATCAGAAATTAAACCTGAGTCCATTTTGAAAAGCAGAAAGCTACTGTGGACCTCTCTGGTTTTTGAAAGAAGACACCATGTGGTAGGTCTGTACAGAACCACACCCCATATGCAACAACATGTTTGGTAGTGTTTGTCACACATTACTGCAGTCAGCAAAAAACTATTGACTACCAGCTTCCTTTTGACTGATGTAGCAACTAGGACATATTGTGCAATAATGTCAAAGTTCAAGACAGAAACCAGTTTATGGGAGTGATAACAGTACTAGTTAATTTTGACTCTGCTTCAGCTCACTTTGTACCTTACACAAAAGTAACCGGGTCCCAACTAAGGCTAAAAACAATTTACATAATCTTTAACACTATATTTGGCTATGCATAACAATAACGTAGAAAAACCAGAATATTAGGATGGCTTACTGATCTGAGCTGCATTAGTCCTACGTGTATCCTTCCCTTGGATAAAATGTAGCAGGTAAAAATGGTTGAGGGATTGGTGAGAGAATTTCCTGTCAGTATGTGCTTTACTCACATCGCCATCGGTGGTCTGGATGAGGAGCAGCGTGGGTTCATGGCCTTCACAATGCGAGTAGAATCTGGAGGAAAATGCTAATTCAGTGCAACATGTCTAATAAAACATCAAATACTGAATCTAAGGATTAACAAAACAACATTTTACCTTATTAAAATAAGTTCCATTTGTTAAACTACTGAATTAAAACCTAAAACAGGAAAGTGAAATATTCTTTATACAGTAGGACAATGCCTTTATTGCCTTCCCAATGGATTATAATAAAGGTAGGCCTGCTGGTTACTTTATCCGTTCTGTTTGCTCCAAATGAAGAGGTTTTTGTTCCAATAAAGTTGTTGTTATTTTTACTTTGTGTGTGTGTTTTTTTTTTTTGTTAAGTTTATAGCTTTGCTTCTCTGTTTATATTTACTTACCTTTTAGCCATAAGTCAAAGATTCAGTGCAAAATAGGGACTGAAGCCTACATCTTGAGCAGCAGCCAGACATGAACACTGGACATCATACCTGGTCAGGCTGCAACCGTGCGTGGAGGTGGTGAAGAGAAGTTGTGGTTGGCACAGGGCAAAGCGCTCAGGGATCCACGACCAGATGTTCCGCATTTCCTTGGCACTGACTAGCTCTGAGGAGAAGGTGTCAGGGTCAAGTGCTAGATGCACGTTCCGACTGGAGACGCCCGAGAAAGACAAAGCCAGAGATAAAGAGGAACAGAATAAGAGACAGATCAAATGGCTGGTGATGAATAAATCTTTAAAAGCAAGATAATAATGGTGCAAATGTATTCAAAGCAACTGTGTATTTATTTCAGTCTGGTGGTGCTGACTACTCATTCAATATATTACCCATAGTGCAATTGAAACATTTATTCTGAGTGTAAAAAAAATTACTTGTAAGAAGGAAAACATATGGAGCAGGACAGAGAACAGAACCCACCTAAAACTGTAAAAGAACCAACACAGTGAACAGGAGTGGAGTGAAGACGAGACAAGATGATGGACGGAAAAGTCCAAACCAGACCCATAAGAAATAAGAACATGATGTTAGACAAGGATGCAAGAGCAAATTAAACCATTCCCCAGAGCATGCCAGAGTAAAAGGTTAAAACACATCATTCTTGCAATTAAGCAAATGGCATATGCTGTACAGTTATAATCATTTTTTTTAAATTAAATGTCTTCCATTTTAACATTGCACCTTTCTCATTCTGTGCATACCACTGTGATTTAATTTTTTGTGTAGAAACTGTCTTACATTTAATCATGTTCAACAATGCCCATTCTCACAGCAGTGATATTCACATTAAATTAGAATTTGAATTATAAAAATAATTCATGTCTGTTTCTGCAGTGTGTATACAGTAGGTGCATGATACGGTACATGTGACAACAATCAATGCTCTCATTGATGCTACAAATGCTTTGCTAAATAAATGTGGCCTAGTTTCTAAATAAAATCTAAGAAAAGATGCTCATGACTGGCCACGTAAATCATATGATTGATTATACCACTTATGTTTGACAGTGATTCCCTTCTGCTGCAGGGACTTTTCATTTGCAAGCTGCAGCAGAGCAATCTCTTTTCGGCTAAACAGGCGGATGGAGAAGGCCTTCTCTAGCAGCTTGTCAGGTGTAATGGTGGAGGCGATGCCCTTGACAAAAGCCTGGATGTCTGCCTTGACTTTGCCTGAATCCTGCTGATCCTGGCCCCCCTGGGCTCCTGCTTTATGCCTGCGGTAGAACTTGAGCAAGGCTATAGCCACACGAAAGAGAATCTTGTAGCCCTCCACCAAATAAACGTCCAGGACTCTGACGACGTGGCTGAAAGGTAGGTCACCAAGCACCCAGCGCTGCCAGTCAGCATAAACTTCCAGCACATCCTGAGCTGTGGTTATGATCAATTTGTGGGCGGCCGGGCAGTATTTGTTGGCCAGATCACCAAAAGTCATGCAACTAGACTCATATGCCAAGAAGGTCTGGTCTAGCAGGCGCTTGTCTGGATCGTTGCAGGCTAGTATGCGGCTGACGTGCTCAAAACACTGAGCTTCATCTGTGCTGAAGTGCAGGAGCAAAGAGGTAACAGCCGGAAGTGATGGGCAGTGGGAGATATCTGGAAACTGTCCAGCCAGGCAGCTGATAATCCGATGAGCTGAGGCCACCGCTTCTGCCTTCAGGCAGTACTGTGGCACAGGATTTCCATCCACAAAGTCTGGCAGTTGGATGTTGGAGGAGGGCTTCTTAGTGGCTGAATTTCCCACAAGGTCACGATATACTTCTGCATCTGGGGTAACTGTACGGCAGGGAATGGCCTTGATGAGCTGCTTGTAGACTTGTGCCCGTAGTTTGTGGTTTTTAACCCAGTAACCCTGCCGAGCCATCTGTTTGAACTCTTTCAGGTCTTTACAATCTACCTTTGTGGGCCCGCTGCTTTTGGCCAGATCCCCCATTTGGTTCCAGTCCACAAAGCTGCCATAGTCTTCTTCAGCCATGGTGCTGGAGCCTTGCTGAACTGCCCGAGTAGGAAAAGACGAGGGATTCTCTGGGTTTTACAAACCTTGTATCCACCAAACACCACGTAACAAGCTTCTTTTTCTTAGCTGCCCATGATGGTTACTGTAAAACACAAAGGAAAAAAAGAGTAAATGAGTGTATAGCACCATAAAAAACCCAAATCAATCGACTGAGTCATTAACAGTCGATGTCAGCAGCGCCAGTATACTCTAAATAAATATGTTTCATACTATGCTGTATCTAATAAAAATTAACATGTTCTAATTCCCTTTGGACCTATAAAAGCCAGTACCTGCTGAATTCCTGCTAGCCTAGCGTTTGTATCTGGCCACCTCCTAAACTACATCAAAGAGTTTAAAGGTAAGTGAAATAGACTGCATTTATGTAGCGCTTTACAATTTGTACCTGCTTTCCTACAGGATACATGGAGATGCACATCCAAATATCATTTGCAATATACAATATACTGTACATTGTTGTTGCCAGAGTAAAAGTTGTTGTAGAGCCATCCAATCATTTCAGTTTTTCAACAAGTTACAAGAGACACGCATCCAAAGATCACTTGCAATATACTGAAAGTGACAGCCATAAAAATCATCAAATCATTTCACACTTCCTCCAAACAAGTCACATGAAGGTGCATAACAATACATGACTGCATGTAAAACCAGCAGCATTTATGGTGAGATTAACTGTCCTACTCAGAATATCATCTCTAAATTACACCATTTACCTTTACAGGCTGTGAACTGCACATCAGAATTTCACCTTTGACAAAAGATGCAACACAATCCATTAAAAGAAACTGAACTGGCCAAAGTTCAAAGTTCTCAGAATTAGCCAATACAAGCTCATCAGTTCCATGAACAATCAGATAAACAAACAGAGGTCCACTAAGCCAAAGCCATGATAGTCACCGTCTTTCAATAGTCTCAGAATGCATTACCGAGACACAAGTAGCATATAGATCAGGAGGTATCAGAGGAGTTTGAAGGCTGCACCAAGGGATCTCAATCAGCTATTAAGAGCATCATGGAAAAGCACAAGCAACAGGCGCAACAAAACTTGTTTACATCTGATACAAAGAGCAAAAGACCATGACTGCCTAATATGGAAACTGCAAAGAGAAATGAACTGATTTTTTTTTTTTTTTATCTGTGGTTTGAAATGCACACTTTTATGGAATATTGCAAAGTTTTAGATATAGTAATTTATAATTGTTGTCAGGATAAATTATAATAGCCTCATGCCCCTTCACTAAGGTTTGTGGAACTATGCGTACCAACTGAGCAATGGGGCCAGATGGCATTCATTTTGCAAGTGTCTGTGCTAGAATCCATCAGCACATCCATTTCCTTTGCAGATTTACAGTTTTTGCCGTCTGTAGGAATATCATGTTCATTCTTTACAGAGCTTTCTAGGTTCTGGTATTACCAGCTGGTTTGAAAACCTAATGAACTTAAGGCTCAAATCTTAAGTCAGGTTAAGATGGCCAGTAAACCTATGGTTCACCCCCCCCAAGACAAGAGAGTCGGAGAGTCTATCAGCAGACTAATAGGATCCTATCTGACCCAATCATGTGTTGAACTCTGAGTATGTCTTAATGTTTCTGGAAGCAGATACAGGGTGTCCTTGTGTAAGCACAATTGTTAACCTCTATCAGTTAAGCTTATTAATGAACAGCCCCTCAGTGACAGACAGAAAGGCAGGGAGACACTCAGATACCTGCAGGCTTTTCACTGATCTTGTGTTTGTGAGCATGTAAACAGATCTGTTTATAAGATTGGCATACTTTGAGATGTATGCATAGAATTTTGGCCATTCTTAACAGAGCTGGGTTCTTATTTAATGTCAAATTCCCCGAATACTAGACAATTTTCTCCTAAGGGAGGCAATAAAAGTAAGCCACTAGGCTTGCATTCATGGTAAATGATATCTGACCTATCACTGGGCTCTGCAGTGGGTACGAGGGCATGCTGCCCTAAATCTGATGGACTCCATTACAGGCAAACCCCATTCTCTAGCTATAACCTGCTGCACCTTTAAACTGACCTAACATATCTTTAAGCTGCTTTTACCTCTTACCCTCTACCAAGCAAAGGGTAAATAATCAGCTTGACTGCAACACAGAGCGAGGCCCACTCCGTTGTCCAACCACGATCTTGGTCTAGTTCACCAGTAGCCACTAGGAATTAAAGGATAAGGCTGGTCATCTTCTAAATTAACATTATTTTCAACACTTCCCATACAAAGATGAAAACCAACAATGATTTGCCTCTACTTGTGATTAATGTCTGTCAATTCGTCAGTACTGGATTAGCTTATTCATTTGTGCCACAGACTTCCATTGTTGTTGCTAAAACTGTTTAACATGCATCCTGACATTTAGTTTGGGAATGGGCGACAGCTGATAAACATATATCCTTAATGCTATTAATTTAACAGCCTACATGAATAAACCACTGTTCTTAACTTGTGCAGCAAGTATACAGCATAACAACATTAGTGTTTGTGTATTAATGTTAATTGTGTGAGGGTGATTCTATTCTTAGGTTTGACATCTTTGACGCAGGTCATTTGTCTCCTTCTCTCATGTAATCTGTGATAAAAACAAAAAAAGGTTTGAAATGCAAGAATTGCTTATAAACTGAGTAATTTCGCAGGTTTCCAGAAAGTTCCTCTATTTCTAAAAGGTGAAAACGTCCATATATAACGTTGAGCTATCAGGATATGGTCATGCATTTGTTAATTTTATTTTGAAAACCTGATAAATCACTACAATCGTTTAGGTATCCCTGGTGCTTTACGTAGCGTATCCTGAGATGGCTAACGTTACTGCAAGTCAAATGTGAACATTTATGGCACTGGATTAAACGAAGCTGACTACTAGGCTTACAGGACATGTACTGGAGCTTGCACATCAAACTGTACTTTGCAAACCTGGGCAGACAAGGCGAATCAAGCGTTGCAATTTTATCTCGGAGGCTCAATGAATGCAGAAAGACACAAGCACCAACATTAGCCAGTCAGCTGAGGTGATAGTAGCTAACACAGTACACACTGATCACGGGGTATTTAACATCACCGCTGCAATAAATGGCCATTTTCCATTCGCATTTGCCAATTAGCATTGCTAGCGTTAACGCTAGCTAACTGCAGGCTGCCCCTATGTTAGCAGCTAACGAAACGTTCAACACCCATACACACATTTAGCAGCCCGACAGCACAACGCAACACAGAGAAGAAGCAATGCAAATACTGAGGGAGACCACAACAACCCAATAAAATACACCTGCCAACGTTGCTGCACCAACTAACTAGCATAAATGTTACCAACCATGCATTACCTTGGTCCGCGCAGGCTTTCTTGCAGTTTTGCTTATGGTGAGAAATTTCAGCGCGAATTTGTGCAAAGCTAAGCTAAGCTAAGCCGGAGCCAGCAACTACTACCGCCTCTAATGTGCAAGAATGGAAAGTTAAGGGGATGGAACTGTCAACAAATAGACTAACAACATTCCTACCCGCATGCGCCTTGCCGTGGACATTTATATTGTTGCCTTAAGCATGCGCAGTGCCCCCAACCACCGGAGAGCTGGTTAAATATTCAGTTTACAGCCATTTGTCCACACTCTGTGGTTAATTCACAAGAGTGGACCACTTTTTTCTTTAGGAAGAGTCACAAGACTGTGAGTGGGAAAAAAAGCACTCAGTTAAAATATACTAAAATTATATCCATATCCCACACTTTCATAAAATATTTTGATTGAAATATTAGGAACGTCACAAGATATTAAAATCATCAAAAGTGTGACAGTATAGCAAAGAATAACTTCAAGAAAATACAAAACAAGCTATATTTATTCAGCTGTAAGCTGATGGGAACATGAGATGGGAACGTGAACAAATGTATTATTTATTATGGTGACTTGACAACTTTTGTATACATGTGGGAGAAAGATAAAGACAGAGAGAAGACATATGAGATTAAGGGATCTTTTGTGTCTTTTTGGTGTTTGTTTTGCATCTCTTTGTGGTCATTTTGTATCCTTTTGTTGTCAGTTTGTGTCCATTGCATTAATTATTCTGAAACTGAATTAATTATTGTCAAAAAGGTAGCTTCTGCTGGCATCATCCCTGTAATTTACCCCATGAAAGGTGTATATGAGGAGTTGGGGGGACTGATTGACAGGAAATGTATCAAACTGCTTTGTTGAGTAATAAATTCATTTTGTAAGCAAAAATGCCAAGAAATATTTCTCTATTTTCAGCTTCTCACATTAATATTTGCCAGTTTTCTTAGATTGTCATGATAAAGTAGACAATGACAAACTTTTTTCAGGTTTGGACTGTTGATCGTCACTGAAAGGCATTTTTGGATCACAGTTACTCTATTAATTAAGAAAATAATTGGCATATTAGTTGATAATGAACTAAAGATTGGGAGGCCTCCCAGCAGGGGACTTTATCCCACTCCTGCAAAGCGTTTAGCCATTGATGCAGGGATACCTTAGGCAGTTTCATGGTTGTCGTTGGTCCTGGTTTGCTCGGTAGACGCGGTACCAGCCGGGGGTGCATTTGGGTTCTTGGGAGGGAGCCTGGCAGAGACAGATGACAAAAGGCTTGTCGACACCCAGTTTGGGTGTATTTGCCTTAATGTATGTGATGTAGGAGCCGTATGTAAGATGCTACGCTGACAGTCTCTGTGCGTTTTGGCTTGACCTTATCACGCTAATTATGC